GGTCTGTCTACCCACGCTGTGTTTAGATCTTAGACAGACGGGACCAGCAGGATTGGGGCCGATATGTTGAGTCCGACGGGGTGGCAAAACACAAATAAAAAGAGAAAATAAACTCACGAGACAAAAAGATTGCTGATGAAAAAAAAAGGGTAACAACCTTTTATATCTTAATGTCCGTTACATAAAAACAAAATTGTTCTCATTTCCCGACCCGCTCTGTGGACTATGGCACAAGCTTCTATCACACAACCTAAAAGATTTCGAATTGCCTACTTTTAGAATTGTGTATGTCGGAGTGTGGTTTGGTTCGACACTGGGGCTTATTTCTATCGATCATTCGCAGTTGATTCTTCTCTTCGACTTGAGTTGTATTTCTTCTTCTTCGTCGACTTAGGCTGGAAGTTCTCTTGTCTTCGACTTGGGCTGGAAGGATCTTTGCCGCAACTCAGCCGCAACTCTCTGTCGTCCGAGGTGATCTCTTCTCGCTGCCGTCCGGGGCTGAATTCTGCCGTAACTCTGCCAAACTCTTGCTGCCTGTCTGGCCTGCAATTCTTCTTGTCTGCCTGCAATTCTTCGGCCTGTCTGGCCTGCAGCTCTTCTTCTTATCTTTGACTTGGCTGTAACTTCTCTGCGGCTTTCAAGCAATCTTCTTCTTCTTCGACTTGGCTGGAAGGATCTCTTGCCGCAACTCAGCCGCAACTCTCTGTCGTCCGAGGTGATCTCTTCTCGCTGCCGTCCGGGGCTGAACTCTGCCGTAACTCTGCCACAACTCTTGGCGTCCTTCGAGCAATCTCCTTCTTCGTCTGCTTGGGCTGGAAGTTCTCTTGTCTTCGACTTGGGTGGAAGGATTTCTTGTCTGAGGATTCTTTGCCCGCAAAGGGGCGAGGGTGAATTGGGCCTTATGCCCGCGTTCAGGCTCTTTCCCTGCCCGCGGACCAGCTGCAACTCCACTCCAACTGATTTCTGTCGACTGGGGTCCTGCTTTTATTGACGCCGCAACAAACTGGGGTGGGTCTGTCGGCGTCAGGGTTTTCTCGATAATTCCAAAAGTCGCATTATTTTTTGATTTCCCATTATCGCTATTGTTTTCACCCCTACTTCCTCACAGTGCCTTTGGTGGGGAGGTGCACACCCATCTCTCTTAGTCTCTCGTATGTCAGGTGACCGTTTTTCGACCAATGGTTCCTGATCGGGCATTTCTTTCTCTTCTTTTCTGCAGATCACGTGACCGTTTCCGACCAATTGTTATTGATCGAGCATCCTTTCTCCTCCTTTCGGGCGTGGTTTACATCGTTCTTGTTTTTAAAAAAAAAAAATCCAATTTTGCCTTTTCGCACGTACGAAAAATGACAATCTTGGCTTTCTCTCACCTGGGCTCTGTCAACCAGCCCGCCGCTAATTAGTTGTGACTTCAGGAAAGAATATTGTCGCCATCTGTGATCTGAGACAATCGTTTTTTTTTCCTGTTGTTTTTTGTCAGACCCGATAGTCAGAAAATCTTAATTTATCTGAATGGAAAATGTCTTTCACTCGTCAATGTGGGGTTCTAATTTTTAACAGGTCAGAATCTGTATACCGTTCCACCGGTCACTCCCCTCAACCCAAAAGACACTTTTTCTCTGATTAAAATTTCGTTTCATTGTTCCCAAAATTTCCCTTTATCCAAATTGATAAGGTGTCTTTCTACGCAAAAAGTAGGCTAGATGCTTTGACCGATATCTGGTTTTCATCAAAGCGGCCCGTTTTGATATCATGTCTTTTTTCCTTTCTTTCTTTTTATTATTTCTAATTCTATTCTTCCAATTGTCTTTAAAAAATTCGGTCAACATGCTAGCTAAGATATCTTTCTGATATCTTTCTGACTCGTGTTTTTGTTAATGACCGCTTTTTTTTTTTTCCCCTTCCTTCTTCTTCCCTTAGGATCGTCCAAGTACAATCTTAGTGAATTATTTTCAACTCAATTATTTTCCGTTTTAAAAAAAATCAACAACCTGTTTAGTAAACCGAGTAAGAAAAATTAAATCATATTTCTATGAATATTTCTAATAATGCAAGGTGCCACACTAGTCAAAGAGTATTGTGCCGAAAATTAAGCGTGTTTTTTCATTTATTTTTTTATATACATTTGAGTATGCAGGCTCATAAGTTACAATCGTTTTTTATGTGATGAAGGTTGTTTTTAATCTATGAATATTGCTTCAACGATCCTAAATCTGTTTTTAATATTTGATTTTGCTAGGGTTTAAATATTTCTATGTACCTTATGCTGCTTATTACTTGTTTTCTGATGGCACTTTGATCCGATAGGTGGCAAGTGAGTCTCCGTCAAGGCGTGATTGTAGTTTGTCCTATGTAAAACATTTTATGTGTTTTGTTTATTTACAGTGAAACATTCTGTGAGTTGTCAAGTATATTCATACAAAACATTGGTGTTATATACTGATTGGAAGTTTACGATATATTTTGTTCACGAAGTTGCTCGTTTTTGATATTTGTTTTCATAAATAATGAATCTGATGTATTTATTTTTATCTACTACTTATATGTATCTATTATTTTATATATCACCTATTTTAATATAAGTGTTTCGTATTTTTTTGTAATTGTGGTGATATTGACTATGATTTTAGTTCTATAACTTCTTGTCAATATTATGTTTATGATTATGATGTTTTTTATAATAAAATTGTTGTTTAACTAAAATTTGATTTGCTTGACTGTAGACTTAGGATACCCATTATTTATACGTGTTTGTTTTATATTATTTAATTCTTCGAGGAAAGATATTATAGATGATGTGATTACATTAGCGCTGTAGATGACAGCAATTTATGACGGAGTTTTATATTCTTCAGGGTATTCACTTATGTAGAGTAGAAGTCAAAGGTTAGATCTCGTAGATTATTAAACAGATATGTAATAACATTTTCACTGTTTCGAACCATGAGAATATATAAAAATGGGATTTATTATCGATATTTAGTTCATAAGTAAACTTTAAAACGTAATTACTTTCAAAATATTTCCTATGGGCAGCCCTCTCCGCCATTTATTTTAAGACTTTTACATTCAACAAAATAAGCTCACCATTTATGTCAGCGTCCTGGGTATGACGATAAAATACATCTGCGTCCTGGGTAAGACGATAAATTACGTCCAACAGCAAGGCCTCTGATCAGGCGTTATGTAGGTGCGTGGAACCACCTCTTAATTGCTGGTGTTCGCAGGTCCAGTCTGACCCGGAGTGGTAGCACCTGTTAGGATCTCAGCTATGGGTAAATAGTTAACGCCGAAACTGGGGTAAAAACACTATGAAAGTGCAAAAATATGTTTTAATACAAGAAATACTTTGTAAAAAATATTACCAGCAATAAATTTTTGAAGAAAATACATTACCAACAATGTTTTTGAAGAAAAAATATTACCAACTATACATCTTTGGGGAAAAGATATTACCAGCAATACATTTTTGAAGGAAAAATATTACCAGAGATAGATTTTTGACTAAACAAAATATTAAAAGCAATAAAATTTTTTCGGAATTAAATAACCCATTTAGATTTATGTGCCTTAAAACAAAGCAAACCAAACCATTTATGTCAGATATATTGATGTCATCTTCATCTATGCCAAATCCACTAATAACATCAAACACCTTAATATCCGGGAAAATTTTATTTTATTAAACAATAAGCAAAAAAAAACAAACAAAAAAAAACAAACAAAAAAACAAACAAATACCTAAATACAATATCTTTTTTATTTAGCGTTATTTATGTGAAAAATAATTATCCTTGAGAGAATAACACTGTTAAATATGAAGTTGCTCCTAATGAAAATATATCCTGGACTAAATATTTGTCATCTGCGAAAATGTCTTCTACTCAATGAACATTACCGGTGTCATAATATTGCCGAATATTAAAGATTCATGACAAGACATTTTCCCCGTCGATTCTGACGATGAAAATACTCACATAATTTGACTCAACGCAAAGTTTAACGCTTGAACAAATTCTTAGACCTCATTAGGTTTTCATCAGTAAACACAACAAGAAATGATGACGTCTAAGGTTTTTCAACCCGTCGCTTAGGTACAGTTCTGAAGTTTCCACTGAGAGACGTAAATACTGAAGCCTTAAAATGCTGAGAGTCTTTCACAAACAATATACAGAAATTAGATCTTTTGATTAGGAAGTAACAAGTGGAAGGTGAAGTGCTATTGGCTGTCCTCACAAGGGGACCGTGAATACAAACGAAATTATTAAGAAAATTCGTGTCTATTGAATGAATAATGATGAAGGAGTAGCGTCTGTTGTATCAAATTATACCGTCTGAAACGGAAGATTGTAATTACAGAAACCCTGATCCATCGCGACTGTTGTTTGTTAGAAGAGAGCAATAATGAAGGATTCACACAAGATATAAGACTTTAGATTGTTTGGGTTCGTTATAATGTATAACAAATGCCTGTTGGCTTTACTTTGTTGCGTCTACTTTTGCTGAAAATTCTTTATTTTTCACTCTGAAGTTTCAGCGATTGATTGCACTTTTTTATGAGTCCATCATCGAATATTAAGACGTAAGTTAAAAATCGAAGACATCAAAATAAAGCAAGTACAGAAAAGATGTTTTCCTACAATAAATTACACTATTTCTGTAGAAGACAAACTGCAATTTTAAAAAATGAATTATTTTTTTAAAACACAGATATTTCGTTCTTTCAATTGCACAAGATTTGATTGTTTGGTTGATTTGGTTTTCCTTACACCTCATCAACTTTTTGTAGGTTATTTAAAGCCAGAATTTTTTTTGATTTTAAAATGTTTTAGAATTTACTGATACTTGTCCTAGTATATAACAGATAACTGGTGGCGGGGAATAGGTTAATTTCTACCATTTTCAAGATTATTGGCACGTTAGTGAATATAGTTAGGAATTGTTACTCAGCTCTGCGATTTACATTTCCAAGCTATTATTCATAAAATCCCTCGCATAGCCATCCCCTGATATTATCAAGCAGTTACCGATCAAGCTACTGGCCAGGTTCGACGTTGCTTAACTTCGGTGATCGTATGAGAACCGGTGTTTCAGAAACGTGATATGGCCGTAATTCTAACAATAAAAGAATTGATATTGTTGCGAATTTTACCTTCTAAGACATATTATAAATTACAGCCACAATGTTTAATGTGTGAATTGCCCTCGAGTAGCTTGCAACACGCATATCATCTCTCAGTTGCGTCTCAGGGGCGGATCCGTCGAAAGACAGAGTTGCACATGAGGAGAATTATAGTAAGAGGTTCCCAGCCCTGGGGAAGAGCTGCTCGATGCCGTGACCTCTCATTGCACTAAAGAGAGGGATCGGTGCTAGTGCCGAGGCCAGCACAAACGACGGTTGTGGGAGCCGCGGATAATTTTTGTTCCTAGCCCGGGTGTACGCGCTCGGGCTCCCCAAATTAAACCGAATTTGTGTCTCAACCTGGGGAGGTTGAGTAAATACAAATTACAATAGCAATGCGACGCTGAAATCCAAAGGATTATTGGCAGAGCGAAATATTCGTTCTAAAAACTCAACAAAAACATTAAAAAATATTTCCTGGGAAAGAACGAAAAAGAGTGCTGAACTATTATGCAATATTATCCCTGTTATATAACAGAATAATTTCAGTAGAGATGAAGAGGAGAATTGAGATGTGGTTCGACAGAATAATGCTAAGGATATCATTGACGGGATATGTGAGCAACGAGAGAGTTTCAATGAAAATTTGAACGAAGAAGATACTTTTGTTAATGATCTGAAAGATACAGCTGAAATATTTGGGATCCATAATTAGGAAAGAGAACTTGGATATATTGACGCTCAATTGACATATTAAAGGCAAAAGGAAGAGTAGGATAGCGGGCCAAATAAGGTAAAAAGCCAAGTGGGAAAGAACAAAGAACATACATAACGAGGTCCTGTAAGTCGATGGTAGAAAATAGAATTTTATTAAAATAAAATGAACAACCATTATTTACAAAGAATAAGAAGTTGTGCAGAGCTACAATCGCCTTCGTTCTGAAGAGATCCGGTGTATAAAAGAATATTAAATATTATCCTGTGACCAGGACTATATATTTTAGCTAGACATATTTTTACTGCTCTTATTGTAGTATGGTATAATTTTAATCATTTCCCCCAAAGCAAGATAATGCATCCACTAAGTCGCACGAGGTTACTAGATATGAAAGAATATGCCGAAAAGAAAAAAAAAACATTATTATGGAGATTAAAAATATAAAAGAATAGCAATTAACAAAACAGAAGATAACGATTGATACTAAATTTCAATTTCTGAAAAGCGAGGTTGACTAGAAAGAAAGACACTGGAAGAGATTTTCCCAAGTGAGACGTGTGAGGGAAGAAACTGTTAGCATAGAACATACGTCTGTCTCTAGCGATTTTTAATCTAAACTTACTTGAAATCTAGTACTGCGCTTAAATTAGTAAAGTCGAACTACGTATTTGAAAATCTCATGAGAACATTTGCAAATAAAATATTTTAGGAAAAGGCACCGGAAAGTTAAGTTATATCGGGGGTGGGAACTGAAAAGGAGACGTCACGTCAAGACCGATTGCAATTTTTTCTCTTTAAATTTTACCGAGAATCTGTAAATACCTGAGCAGAAACATCAGACAACATCTGGCAGCAATATTCGGTACAAAAAGAAACGGTAGACGTATGAATGTGTAAGATAGATTTCTGGCGAGAAAAATCGTCTAGTAGGACTGCTTTTCTAGAAATATATCTAGCAATGGATTCAATATAAATTTGCTGTTTTAAACGTTAGAAGGATGCGTTTCCATGGACCAGTACGTGGAGATTAGGAGGATTATCAAGATTTGCCAAAAGCCGGTTAGTACGGTTACCGAGACTTTCAAAAATGCGATAAAGATTGAACTGCTATCAATCCTTTTTAAAGGGTCTCACTTTTCGAGAAGATCTTGTAAGCTCTCTCTCTCTTTCTCTCTTTTTCTCTCTCTCTCTCAAAGACTGGCTTTGCTTTAAAGCACAGCTGATATAAAACAAATATTGGTTATACGAAAAGGAATGTTTAGGTTTTTTTTTTTTCAATTTTTTGCAATCTAACTACAACGAATAATGCTATTTCTGCAGCATATTCTGCTAAGACGCTTTTTTTTTCTATTTTCCTAATCGAAACCTTGAGAAGAACTAATAGTACTCGTTGCAAAACGTTTTCGCTATTAATTTATGTCAGTGTGCCCCGTGTGCAAAGATTTCAGCCGAAAAGAAATAGTTATTTCTGGTACGACGGAAACGTCATTTTCTCTTCACTTTTCAAGGAATTTAATCAACAGAATCAACGCGGGGGTCTTAAATGAGAAAAAATACAAAAAGGAATGTTTACTTGATTCAATCAAAATAACAGTTCTTCTGTCGAAGAGTTTGAAGCATTATCATTAGTAAATTCGACAACAGATAATTGGTTTGCAGCACGAAAATGCTACCGATATGCTTACCAATATAAATCAGTGGAATCGAATGAAATGAACGCTCCTATTTAATTCTCCTGCTCTTTTACACATTCTTTCTTTGAGATATTAATACGAGCATAAATATTCCATTATATATTCCGACTCAGTGGTCTTCAGCCAACTATATTCGGCAAAAAATTAAATGCAATGTCAATGGGTTTCTACTGTCCTCCTGATAGCTTTTCTTTCTTCTCGCTTCATAGCAATGTTCTCGCTTCTAACTCTTCCACACCTAATAACCTCTTGTGAGTTTTAGAAAACAAAAATCATAGTCGAGCAACACACTTTTGCAAAAATGAAAAATAAAATAAATTTACTGCAAACTTTTGCCTAGGCTCTTTAAGGCAATAGTAATCATAGATGAATAATAATAATAATAATAATAATAATATATATATATATATATATATATATATATATATATATATATATATATATATATATATATATTGGCATTTGAAAAAATGAATAAAACACCTAAAGTTAAATGGAAAATTATAAACAAATCTAGAACTTGTAAAACTTGGGATGACCCAGGCCCTTTATGCCTACATGAGAAACTACACATTATTAAGTTTCTAAATAATAAAAATCTATTAAACAACAGACATGAGTTAACGGTTTTTTGCCGACATCATCAATTTTTGCATTGAATAATTAGCATAAAAACAAACAAACAATAAAATAATTTTTATAATCCATAGCCCTAATAAATCATTTAAATACCCTACAAAAAAGATAACCCCTTATGAAGTCGTCAAAAAACAAATGTTATGGGGTTTTTTTATAGACACAAAACCCTTTCAGAATAAAATAAAATAAAATAAAACAATAAATAAATCTCCATAGACACGTAAACCAGACTAGGCGAAAACATCTTATGTTTTAAATTTAGACACCCCAAACTTACCCTGACTTGACATCTATTAATGTAACTCTATACTGATACAAATTATTAACACCCAACACCCTCCTATTTAAACAATTAGTCTGGCTGTTACCATGGAAATTTTGATTTCAATAATGAATATGCTATTAAAACACGTAAATTTCAGAAATAAGTTATTCCAAGAAAAAAATCGCTTGAAGAGGGAACTGAACTTACTTTAATTCAATTTAATTCAAATAATTTTATTGAAGTTTTCGGCTTTTGTTTTGAAACATGAGACCTCTTATGTAGCGTGTTGGAATGATATTTTTAAATAAATAATTATATATATATATATATTCTCTGTAGCTATATATATATATATATATATATATATATATATATATATATATATATATATATATGTGTGTGTGTATGTGTGTGTGTGTGTGTGTGTGTGTGTGTGTGTGTGTGCTTGACGTATGAAGGTCAAAATATATAATTCCTAAAAACCGACAGCCAGATACCTGCACATATGATTTGGTTATAATGGTGAAGGTTTTGTGCAGCACCAACCACACTTTCTGGAGAGCCGATTACAGAGACCTGGTGCACCACGTGCCACAAGTTCCCCAAACGACCCTCCATATGTTTTGAGTTGTCTTTCCCCTTCTCAAAGGCTATAGAAACCAGTCGGTACTGGGAGAAGAAGAGGATTTATGCCTTTCCGAAGGTTATTAGCACTTAAGTGAATGTCATGTTTTCAACTTGAATTCAAACTCGTCTCTAGATTCCTCAATCCGAGCTGTTATCCCTCACTCCACCGTGCCTCCATATATATATATATATATATATATATATATATATATGTGTGTGTGTGTGTGTGTGTGTGTGTGTGTGTGTGTATGTATGCGAAAAAATAAAAATATGTTCAAATATGTAAAATATGAGCTCAAAAGCAAAATCATTTTTTATAGACAATTTGCCTCGAGAATATTTGGAAGGATCTTTTCGAATGCAACGTCATACTTACTGATTTATGTCAGAAAATATCGATTAAATATAAGAAACATCAGATCATCGAGTGGAAGGTGCAAATCTACGTAGCCTGTGGTTACGAAACTGTACGAAACTTTCTGGAGATTAAGCAAAACTGTAGTGTTAAACCCTTTTAACTTCCAAGGTGAAAATGTTTGCCGACAAGGGCGGCGGGGGTGCGTATAGGCACAAACTAATACGACATCTGATCAACAAAGTATTGTGGCTGTTGTTATCTTAATACTTTCAGAGTGAAATCCTTTGACGCAGTTTGACCTTTAACTCCGTCTGACATAGAAACTAAGTTATAAAATCACTCACATCCTTTGTTTATAACAGGGCTTGGTAGAAAAGTGTGTAGAATCTGATTCCATCCTAGAGATTACATCAACGTTAATATATTTTGCAAGTGTCTTAGCTAATCACAACATTCCACAGGCCCAACAACCACCATATTCCTCAGATCCTCCCACTTCCGTCTGTTCCCTTTGCTATTATCAAATCCCAGCATGAAAAGTACATGGTAGCAAGACGTCCAGGAAATCCAGACGAATGCGACGAGGCAGTTTCTCGCTATCCCAAAAATGGAGTTCCAGGAATGCTTCCGCCAAATGAAACTATATATTTATAATATATGTAGCTACATTTATAAAAACGTTATTATTT